CTTGTGCTTTGTAAGTTTTTAAAATGACTTTATTGAATTACTAGGATGCAGACAAATAAGCACAAAACAAGATTCAGGATACATATTTCACCTTTTATGTAAAAATAAACTAGATTTAGATTTATACATTCTCCCTTATATTAAGTTCATTCTCATGTAGAAGTTACAACACTGGAAATTTATTCAGTTTTCCAATATGAGAAACTAATAACTAATTGAAAGGTAACATTTTTAGGGAAAATTAAAGCATACTTTAATTTTATACCATCTTTAAATGTAGCAGCCAGATAGTTCAACATTAACTTTACTGTTTTAACCTAGTAAACTCAAAGCTACAACAGATATTTTTCTCTCTTATTCATTTATTAGCTGAGGAAAATATTTAATAGTTTTGTTGTTTTTGATCCTACATTCAAAGTTAAAGTTGTAGAATCTTTAGGTTTTGTTTTGTCTTGATTTTTTCACAGTGAAATATAAAATTTATGACTTAAAAGTGCTCTAAGTATTTAGGTAACAGATCTGATTTACTTCTTAACAGGAAGTTAAAAAGCCTTTCAACATTTTATAGACTTTGTGAGAATCTCGCACGGGCCTTGCCTCTGACCCTTGGTGGAAGAATGGCTGTAAGGGAAACAGACATTAGCTAATGGCCCAAAGCATTTACTTTCCTGGATGTCTTACAGTGATTATTACTTTCAAGCTTATTATGTTGTTATTGGTGGTAGTCTTTAAAGCTGACAGTTATTGCATAACTTGAAGAGAAAGAAGAGTTGTACATATTTTTTTCTGATGAAATACTGATGATACGTGATACATGATTATGGACTTTGCAATCAAACAGCTTCAGGTCTGAGTTAGCATGTGTATTTACATAGTTATGTTATAACCTCTGTGAGTCTCAGTATCTGTAAAATGGGCACGACAGCTACCTTCTTGAATTGTACACCAAAATATGTTCTTAGCACATAACAGAACTCAAATTTTAATTTTATTTTTATCCTTCACTCCCTGTCTTTACTATTTTTTTGAAGATACCATGTGAGGAAAATACTGGTTTGAGGGAATTATTATAGAAAAATAACTACCAACAAAATACTAAAACACTCCAAGTACCTGACTTGGCTGCTTTTCAAAATTCAACTTTAACTTTAAAAGTCAGTGTAACCAGCAAGCTAACATGATCCTACATTTCCTCGGTGTTTGGTAAGTGCTCATTGGTGCCATCCTCACGTCCGACCTGTAAGGGTGGCAACACATAGAGCAGTTGACTTGTCTGAGGTCACAAGGTTGGAAGGCAGGCAGAAGCAGAATCGGTGTAAGTTTAGTTCCACATCCAGCTTCCCAATGAAGTTTCAAAACAGTTCTGCTTTGAGGAAACAACACGGAACAATCGTTTGTATGAAAGGAGACTTGGGGCATATTTCGGCGTAGAAATGCCTTTGGATAGAGTTCAAGATAGATCTGAGGTATACCAAATTATTCTGTAGGGAATGGGTTATGAGAAACATCAAACGGGCAGTATTAACTCCCCAAATATTCTTGAGTTGCATGTGAATGCACACTCGTTCACTTGTGCTTCAAAATACACTAGTAAGCATTTAAATAAAGGGAAACATCTTTCCCCAACATACTTCTAAGCCAATTTAGAGGTCATTGAACAGATATCATATAATACTAATGTGAAATTACCTTGTGTAATAAGAAAATTACAGTACCTAAATAAAGATAGTAAAGGGAAACCATCCAATGAATTACCCTCGAATTTCAAAATGAAATGATGTCTTCAAAATTAACAGTGGCACCATACGACTTTAGAAAAGTGAGTCTGGTAGGGAGCAGGGAAATCAGAGACAAAAGCGAAGCTTTTCTGTGTTTATGCCAAATTTTGGTTATGCTGGAGGGCTAGTGTAATAGTATAGCTTTCAATTGTCCAAGACCCATATTACTATTAAATTGTGTGGCAAGGCATTTATTAAAATCTAACTTCTTATTGAGTTGTTTAATAGAAAATCACAATCATTGTTTCTAGTGTATATGTACTTCCTCTTAATATTAGCTACTCTTTAAAAGCTAATTATTTTGAGAACATAGTATGACCAAAGCCTAAAAATGTATGAAGTTTGACAACTTTAAATAACCACTAGCATTTCCTAGAGAACAAACCTCACTTACAGTTAGGAAACAATATTTATATGTAAGGTTGAAAAGCCAGGATGTAAGAAAATTTTGCTAATTTGGAAGATGACCTTTGAGTGCACCAAAACCAAATAATTTGTAGGCTATGACATAGGGCGCATTCCTACAAAATTTGTGTGAATACAGCTTTAGCGGTTCTTGAAAGACAAACAAAGAAAGCTGGAATGAAATCTTTATTCCCCTCCCAAGTAAGACTCAGACTAACAAAAGTGTACAGCAGCACCCATTCAAGGCTTACCATTCAGATGGGGTCTTTGTAGCATAGTTAATGAGATGGTTCATAGTGGAAAACAGTCTGTTTTTAAGACTGTTTAGATCAAAAGTAATTTCTAATCTATGAAATAAAGTCTCTTCAATGCCCTTCATTCACCAGGAAAGCTTTTATGTTTGTATTATTTACTTCAATCAGATGTTTTCAATTTTACCTTTTTCTTTGTGCAAATAGTTGATATGGTTCATCAATACTGACCAACAGCTTTATTCTTTTTATTCAAAAGAGAGAGAGAGAGAGGGAGAGAGAAGGAGAGAGAGAGAGGGAGAGAGGGAGAAGGAATGAAAAAGAGAGAAACATCTTTGCCTAAACAATTTGCAACCATCTGTGCTTTAAGCTACTTTTTATGAACACTCCTTAGTAAATGACTCAAGGTAAAAAAGCAGAAAAGCATCCAATGTTAGGAAATTGCAATCCAATACCATGTAATTTAAACCTGCAGTTGCTTCTCTTGTACTAAATGACATACAGATGGGTAGCTTAGTTCTCTCAGCCTTGAGAACACAATTGGTCTTTTTGTATGAATGAACATATATTAGCAAAAATATTTGGGACAGAACTGTTTTATTCTCATTGTCCAAATTTTAATTATCTGTGCCATTGGGAAGAATAATTTTAACCAAGACATATGCCACGTTATGTTTGCAATTAATGAGTTTGTGAGAAAATTAACCAAGATACATTTCTAACAAATCAAAACAAAGTAGATTTCAAGAAGTCTGTAGTAGATTGAGCACCGTCAACTGTTTAAGAAAGAGCTATGCTTCATTCAAGATGTTGAGAGGCTTATTCCACTAGAACAAACATTTCCTAGGGAAACATTTCTACCTACTCCCTAGACAACAGTAAAAATGTAGATAGTAGGTGTTTAGATAAATCCTGGTGTAACATGGGGCCCAGTGAGCTGAAGGACCCTTGTGCTGTTTGCACTGAGCCAGCTGGTCCTGTGGCCCCTTCCGGGCCAGGAAGGGCCAGGGCATGTCGCGGGAGGTCAGCAGAAGTGCTGTTTGATGCCCGCAGGCCTGCACCTCTGTGCTTGGCTCTGATTTGTTCTTTTCCTGTCTCTGTGTTTTCTGGTCGAGAATCAGCCTCCCTGTCTTGGTGGCCCTAATTCTGGAAGCTGATACCCTCTGCAGTCCCACAGTCCGGATAACTGGTCAGCTAATTTTTTCCAACTTCAGTAATTTCATATTCGATGACATTAGGCACCTTGAAAGTAAAAGAAGTAAGAAGTATTTCCACCCCTAAATCGTATTTCTTTGTATTTCAAAAGAAGTTGAATTTAATATTCAGGAAACTAAGCAAGCTTTCTCCTAGAAACATCAAAAGATGGTGCGAAATCTTTACATTTAGGACAGTCTACAAGCTCCTTTTGCAGCGTGATGGATGGCAAAGAAAAGTAATTTTACTGCAGTCAGTAATGGTTGCCCGGTCCCAGAGTTTTATTTTGTTTCAATCATTTGTGCAGGTAAAATAAAATACCACACATAAACAGGTGTTGGCTGAACATTTTACTACAGTCTTATAGGTTGAAATAAAACCTACCATTGGTATTAGAGTCACATTAAAATTATTTCACCGTTCAGATACACTCAATCAGTACAATCCTTCTAGATATACTTTGTAAAAAGAAAATGTAAGTCTTTAAATAAAATCACATTTACTTTTTCTTTTTCCCTTTGTTTTTCTTCCTGTTTTTCTCACTCTTTATTTGAAATTCTTTGAATCCGCATTAGTTTAAAATGCCTTCTCCTGTAGTGTACCGAAAGTTCCTCGCTGCCTGTTTAACATGGGGATACACACTCTTTAAAGGAAATTTCATTTCCAAAGATGCACAGAACCTAGTGAAATGTCTGATGGAATCACAGAGAAAAGCAATCCCTAATTTTAGAGAATATGTGTTTAGAGTTCCCAGAAGAACAAATAAGGTAGGGCTGGGGATATAGCTCAGCGGCACAAGCGCCTGCCTGGCAAGCACAAGGTCCTGAGTTTGATTCCCGGTACCAAAAAAAGACGAAGAAACAAACAAACAAGAAAAGCAAAAACAAGTAAGGTAGAGTTAGTTAGATCATCCCTAACGGAAACGATAACGGTTTCAAGCTATTCCATCAAGTTGCAAAATTGCTCAATGTACAGTTAACGTTTTAACTAACATGCCCATCATTTTATATACACACTGTAAATAATTGTGGATAGGTTATGTTTTTAATTCATTTCTTTAAAAAGGAGTTTCAGGGTGTTGGGAGGCAAATATGATGTACCGCCATCTTGCAAACGTTCCGTCAGTTTTTAGCTGTTCATGCTAGCAGCTTTGGCTGTAGCACATTGTCACTGTTCAGTGGGTTGTAGGAAACATTCTTTTTAAACTTAGAGAAATAATCAGCTGCAGTTCAGGTAAGATTTTCTAGCGCCTTTGGGACTGGCCTGATCATTGACAAGTGAGTGTAGAGGTTGTGTGGTGGCGGCCGGCCAAAGCAATTATTTAGGATTCAAGCTAAAAAGCCTCCTTCTTCCATATCCTCTCTCTTTCCAGGGTCATGTAGGGATAAAAAGAACTGTAAGGTGGTCTTCTCCCAGCAGGAGCTGAGGAAGCGGCTCACACCCCTGCAGTACCATGTCACTCAGGAGAAAGGAACTGAAAGGTAAGGTGAGCGGTGATGAAAGTCATTAAGCAAGAGCTTGCTCCTCCGTGCCTCCACCTTTGAATCCTCTTCTCTGCCAGTTAAAGAATTCTGTCCTTATTTGCTAAAGTCTGTAAGTGAGTGTCCTTGCAAAGATCAAAAACAGCATTGTTTAGGTACAGACCAAGTTTTATTTGTTCTTCCCTCCACTTAATGAACACTATCTTGTGTAAAGTCGCAAGGCTTTTGCTAAGGGCCTGTGTTTAGTTTACTACAAAATGTGTGGAAGTAATAGCGACTTAGGTACATTTTCTGGGAAGACATCACAGTAAGCACACCATGAAGGACATGGAGCTATGCCAGGATGCTGAGATTCTGAAGGTGGCCATTGTAAGAATAGACGTTTTGGCTGCAGAAAGAAGGTAGCATAATTTAGTTCCTTTCTACCCCCTCCGATTTCTTTTTGAAGCACATGTGGAGAAAGTATTTATTGCCTCATTTGTGGTTGGAATGTCAAAAATTTTCAATAACTGCCCTCACATGGCTCTGGTCCTTGGAACTTCGCCCTAAGTCCTGAAAAAAGAGTTTGTTCACTTCCAAGACTGTTGTTAGTGAATAAAGTCTCTCTCAGCTGATTCCAGCGCAAAAGTAAGTTGCCAAGGTGCAATGATTTTGTTGTCTAATTTATACCGTGGAGCTTGGCATATGCCTGCAACTTACCTCTGATCCACATTTATTAATGATGTAACTTCGTGTTTTCATTCATGACTTGAAAAGAGCTCTTTACTACACATGGGATCTTTGTTAACAGACAGCATGTTCTTCCTGTTACAGTACCTACTGTTTACTGAATTTACCAAATGTTGAATCTCTGACAAAGTCTACCTTCACTGTACGATGAGCTAGTGGTGGACTTCAGTCTCAGCTCAGAAGGACTTTTGCTCGTTCTGTTGTATACATGACTAGCAAAATGATTTAATGCACACAAACAACCAGAGATTAGGTCATTCTTAAAAATGCTGTTTATAAAAAAAATTGGACCTCATAAAGAGGGTGAAAGGATAATAAAAACAAGCTGCAGAGCACATAGACTTTTTGTTGGGCTAGCACAGCTGATTTGTATTAGCTGAATGACCTCCTAGCCTTTAAGATTGTTAACTTAGAAAAATATTCCCTGAAAGCTGAAATATTCCTTTTCAAACTAAAAAATAACTCTTTCCACTTGAAGCCTTGGAATTTTCTGCATGTTCTGGTATACTCTTGGATACTGAAGAGTAGCAGAAATCTTAAGGAATAACGTTCTTTCTGTGAATCAAACTACACACCTTTTTTAATCGAAAAAATTTTTTTCTAAGTATTACATAACTAAATGGCTTGATTTTTTTTTTAATTTAACCTGCAGTGGTTTGGAGTAGTTATAGGCACTTTTATTATATAGATTTGAAATATATTGGTATTGTTCAGATTTCCATATGTTTCGTCTGTTCTCATTTTAGGACAAAAAACCCTTGAAAAATTTGTTAGAAAAGTGTATTTAAGCAAGTACTTCCTATAAAAATAATGCTAGCTTTGGTTAATTTTTTTGATGATCTGTTTATTGTTTATCAGTGCCTTTGAAGGAGAATACACACATCACAAAGATCCTGGAATATATAAGTGTGTTGTTTGTGGAACTCCATTGTTCAAGTAAGTATGTTAACAACCTATAGTATGGATGTATCATAGATGGCAACAAACTAGTTATTGCTTGTTCACCCTGGAACCTTTATACTCCTGAATTTTCTTCTTTTTCTATTTTTGTTTACCCTCTACAAAATAAAAATATGAACTCTCATGGTAATTTTGCACTGTTTGGATTTTTAAAATACCCAGCATTAACTTGTTCACTTCAGTTAACATTTTGCTTAACAAAGCTATCAAAGAGATTTGGATGGGCATCGAAATGTTTATAGATTTATTGATTTTTCAGTCAAGTTATTTATTGGACAATATTGAAAATTCTTCATGTGAATCTTTTTTCACATTTAGTAATATCCACCAGGTAGACTGTTTCATACTTCTGCAAAGAAGGAAAATACCTGCATTGAAAGTAATTTGAGACGCATAACAGATAGTTATACATAAAGGAGCAATTTACGTAATATGAAGTTAACAGTTTTTTATTACTCCAAAAATCTTTATTTTAAAAATCCATACAGTTTACCATAAAACAGGTAGCACATAGACTTTTTGACCAAAAATAGTCTTTTAAACAGTGTATTCTGGAAAGTATGTCTTATTCAAGAAAGAACAATCTTTATCAAAAATATATCTAGTTGAAGAAAATCCTGGAAGCCCTATATTTCTTGTAGGGTTGCCGGTTTGAAGGAATACAAAAAAAAGCACCTTACTTGAGTGTAAATGCCATTTATTTAAAATGGAATTACAGAGTTTCTTAGGGGAAATGAATAAACATGAATCTGGTACGGGTAGCATGTAAAACAACTTTATATCTCTCTGTAAATGTTTCTCTTTTAAAATACTAGCATTTACAGATTTTCCAGGAATAACTGGAAATAGTAGCTTCCTTGAAAATTTTTAAGGGGTTACAACTTTTTAAAATGGCACAAATCTTACTGCATGTTAGGATTGGTCGAGAATCTGTTCTGAATTCTTATGTATTTATTCTTCATGTTAAGAAACCAGCCCTTCGAATTGTCACGCATTTTCTCTCAGAAAACACATATCTTCATATTTCAACACCTTTGTCTTGTGTCATAATAGTTGATATAACACTCACGATAGTTGTTGAGCCATGTTAAACTTGTTAATATCCCAAATGGCAAAAATTGGCCACATCTCTTTGCTTTTTAAGATCCTCCATTTCTTTACCTATCATGTGATTTGCTAAAACATTACATCTAAGGAAAACCTACTCTTTTAAATAAGAAACAGAATTACAGTAAATGAAGGATTAAACTCAAGTGAGATTTTGAATCGCAAGTCCTAAAAAGCAAGACCCTTATCCAAACTTAGGTAATGGTGGGAATCAGGTTTCATATTTAATGTGACATTACCATGGTTTCCTTTAACATTCTTGTAAGGAAAGCTTTTATTTTCTAAATTTTTAAGTAATGTGGTTTTGTTGTTTTTGTCCTACCTTTCCTTTATTTCATTCTTGGCCTCTCTGTTCTTGGTTTTTTGTCTGCTTGGGAGGCGGGAATTCTCTGCTTTGTTTTCTACTGGACATGGAAGAGCTCACGGGTCTGTTGTAGCTGGAGAATGTGTACTGGGGTGTCCACTTTCCAGGGGTCAGAGGGCATGGACAGTGTGTGAGGCATCACTTTTCTGATCCTCAGCTTCCACAGGACCGTGTCCCTGGAGCTGATTGTCTGAGAAAGTCTGCAGTCTGCTTCCTCTTCCTTCTCATCCCATCCTCTCGGTCACCTTTCTTTCATCTCGTGAAAGATATCACCACTCTCACCTGTGCCAGATCCTATGGATGTATTGTCCTAGTACAGGCTCTAGGGCATCGAGAAAAAAGTGCCAGTTTAGCGATGCATTACTTCTGAAGAGAGCAAAGCAAAGAAGCATTTGTGAAAGTACTGAAGTAGTCCTTCATCTCTGCAAGGCTCTGGCGTGATTCAGTCCCACTCCTATCTGTCTGCTTGTCTATTCATTGTCTGCTTATCCATTTCCTGCCAGCCTACTTAAGTGAGAAGATTGCCCTGAGAACATGTAGTAACATGTTTCTTCAAGTGGAAAAAATGAAAGAAATGAATGTCTTTTATTTTTAGACAAGAAAAGTTTAATTTGGTTGATTATCAGTCAGGACTGACTTTGCAAATTACTTCATATGGTGCATTTCATTCATTAAATGATCTAACCCTGTAGCTTTAAGGTTTTGACAAACACCTATTTTAGCTATGTATACAGTAGACAAAATAATGGAATAATTTGCAGTTATTTAAATTATGGGAAGACATATTAGCTGTTAATTTAAAATACAGGAAAATAGGAAGCAGGTTTCCCTCAGCGCTGTCAGGCTGTAGAACCCACACAGCTATTTGAACCAGGAAGTTTAATATAAAGAATTATGCACTGTACTAGACTGTTGTGGTAATGAAGGATTGGCTAATAAGTAAAGAAAATCTAAAGGCTCTGATAATGCAAGAATCGCAGTCATGACCCCTAAGGAGGAGCAGCCTATTCTGCAAAAGCCGGGAGCTGGATAAGCTGCCTGCCCTGAAGGAGCTGGGTATGGGAAAAGCGATGCACACAGCAGGAGCCTGGTGCCCTGAGGAGGCTGGACGTAGAGACGCTGTGCTTCGGGATTCAGATGCTAGAGAGGCCACAGGCCCTGGAGCAGGCTGGCCGAAGCAAACCAGCAAGTAGAGGCCTTTTCCTCCAGGGCTCTTTCTCCTGTGCCCTCTACTGGCAAAGCTTAAAGTTATGCGAGCCAAGCAAAGAAAATTGAGGGCCCAGCTCCCTGTCAGCAGACCGAGCGAGGAAGGAGGGTTTGGAGGTAAGAGGCAACGAACCGATAACTGACACAGTCCATATTTTCTTAAAGATTATTTTTGGAGGTCATGATCAAAAGTTTGAAAACCGTTCAGTCATTGGTGAATTAGAGGTATTGCTCCCATGGACCTCCTAGGTAGTGGGTTTCACACTTTATACACAAAGCGTAGGAAACGTGTGTGTGTGTGTGTGTGTGTGTGTGTGTGTGTGTACATATGCACGCATATGGGTAGCTTTTATTAGACAGAAGTGGGTGAGAAGAAAACTAGGTAACATAGGAAATAGAGCAACAATATGAAAAATAACTATATAGTAGGAAAACAGATTAAAAAAGAATAGAAAAAAGAAGCTCTGAATTTCAGAACGTGGGACCGTTAGCAGTGTAAGATTTTTATCCCCGCTTAAATTTCTGTCGTCTAATCCGTGCTTGTGGTATGTGTATATGTGCACACATATGTGCATAAGCCTCTTCCTTTCTTGACTGATGTGTATGTATTACACTTCCTCATATAAAAAAGGCTGTTCAATTATTCTCATTTTATTTTCAAGCCTGTACTGTACTGTAATACATTTCTTCTCTGAACAGTATGCCGCTTTCTTACTGCTTACCAAGTACAAGAACCTTATTCACAGGCTTCTTATAAACCCAAAGTGTACTTTATTCCACAGTTCATGTTTTCTTCACATTCACAAATTGTGCCAAGCTAGTTTATTTCTCATGTAGTACTACTGATTTTCAGTTGGTAAATTAACTGACAGAAACAAGAATGTTCTCGCCTGTGGTTATTTGAACTTTTAAAATTTCCTAAAGTGAATTCATTACATATCAGATAAAACCAGAGAAGGCACTGGTAAAATAATTTAGTTCAGAAAGTATTTTTGACCACTTACGTTGTGCTCTGGCTGACACTTTACCAGGTGTTGTGGAACAAATGTTTATGAAATAGTTTCTCCTCGCGGTACTTAATGGTTTTGTTATGTAAAATATAACAAAATAATGCTAGTATCTCTCTGGATGTACCTGTTTAAAATGCTTTCACATGCTCTAGGAAGATATATGGCTGCATCAAGTTGGAAAAGTGTTCATGGAGATCAGACCACATTTTATTAGGAAGAAGGAAGAGTCCAGTTTTCCCAAGTGCGGGAGACTGGTAGAGATCGTCACATGAGAAGAGGAGTTAGAGATGGGATCAAAATCAGCTTTTTGAAGGAATAGGAGATTGGTCCAGTAGGAGTTGGGAGGTGGGTTCTGTTGGTAGTAATGGGAGACACAGCTGGAGTGCTATAGGTGACCAATCAGGGAAGTCCCAGGACAGGAGAAAACGTTTAAATTTCTACTTGAAATCCTTGAAGGCTGGAATTTCCTTTTTGATGAAGCTCTCTGACCCTTCTAGGATGAAGTCTGTTGTCACTCCTCTCAGCCCAACAGCATGTTGTGTGCACTCTGTCATCATTTCTGCTGCGTTCTGACTTACCTGTTGGCTTGCTTATTTGTCCTCCGGAAAGGACGTTTCACAGTGGTCAGGCTATGCCCTGGTCCTGTTTATATCTCTAGCCTCTGGGATTTAATAATCACCAAACATTTATTGTCCGTTCCATGGCTGTCTGAAGTGTGTTGTCCAGACTGTGGAGAACTTTTGAATAAGCACATAGCATGAGGAAGATTGGGAGGAAGCCACAACAGTGCGTAACGCGGATTTCTGGGAGCAAAAGGAGGAGTTGGGGTTGGAACAGCCTCAGTAGAAAGTTCTTTTCCTTTTACCCACTAAACCTCAGCGTTAACCATGCACAGACAGCTCCTGGTAATTTTGCTTGAGACTTGAAAGGACCACATGGAATAGTTACTGTTTTGCCTACAGAATACCCAGCAGGCCTTGCGCTGAGTAGCCCGTTTGGTGGACGTTCATTAATACTATTAACAATGCCACTGAAATACTGGCTGACAACATATAGCACTTACCATATGGCAGGCACAGTACTAAGTGTTTTATATATCTTTACTCATTTAATCTTCACAACACAATTTATAGAGGGAACTGAGACAGGGCGAGAAACTTATGAAGATCACTCAGCCGGCATACAAATGGACTTATCATAGTAATGTTCAAATTTTTTAAAAGAACATCAAAGAATTATAATAGAATGTTTTCTTAGTATTTTAGTTTGGTCTCTCTGGCTTGATATTT